GGATCATAGTAACATGTCTTACTGGCAGTGATGGATATATATATATACAGTATATATATATATATATCCATCACTGCCAGTAAGACATGTTACTATGATCCATGCTGCACAGAGTGAAATAAACCATCTGCTCCTCAGTTATGGCGAGCCTCAGTGGTTGGACGTGTCCGGCTGTCAGGGGATCCAGAGGCCCCACTGTGACCTCAGCACCGTGACCTCTGACCCCAGAGAGTGGTATTACGCCAGAGTGCACGCTTCCTCCCTGCCCTCCAGCAAATCAGCCTGGGCCCTCTCCCCGAGGTTCAGCCCGCGCTGGGACAGTGAGTGTTTACTCTCCTCCTCCTCCTCCTCCTCGTCTGTTTTATTGTCGCTTACCCAAACTGATGCCTCGACCGACACAACCTGAAACAGACGCCAGCATGGTTCTTTATAACTATAAGGAGTGGAGATGTACTAGAGTATTTCAAGGAGAGGTATCAGTTCAGGTTGTAAGATCTGTATGAAGAATAACTAATAAATAATTTTTTTTAAGTCAAGAAATTGAATTTACTAACTCAAAAAGTACAATTTGCTTAGTTGTACATATAATACAGTCACTTTACTATACTCTCAATCAATCCTGGTCCCAGTCTACATAACAGTTGTTTTCTTTTTACCTTTTTCAAGAGAAATTCAAGTCATTTTTCAAGGATAAAAACAATCAGTTGCCTGGTACTTCAACCCCCAAACTGGCAAGAAAAAGTCGCATACAAAGTGTTCTGTTTAAAATGTGCTTGAAGTCTAAGATGTCAAGTTGCTTTTTTACAAAACAAAACACTAAAACAAAAAAAAATATCATCTTCTCCTTCTTTTATGTTGTACTCTTTGATTTGTTTTGTCATCTTTGGAAAAAAAAATAAACTAAACTAATTCCTTATGTTGCTTCTGCAGCCGAAATCAGCTCTCCTGTCTTGAGGCTGAACTGCACCAAGCAGGGGATCGTGGTCCGTGTGAAGCCCCCGAGGCTGATGGTCCGTAAGATACACAGGAGCCTGCACTACGAAATCTACCTCCTAGACACCAGTGGACAGGAGGTACGCACACACACACACATAGTTAAATGTGTACGTTGTAAACACATTACTTTTAAACTACCACTACTACTCTTACGAAATAGAAGAGGAAGCAGAAGAGGGAGAAGAGGAACATCAAAAACAAGAACAATAACAATAAATAATAAAGACCAGAACGAAACATAAAGAACTTGTATGTATGAAATGTATGCATGTAAAGATATTATGCAGTCTGACTGTCACTGTCTCCGGTCTTATTCTCTCCTCTTCAGGAGGTGCACGAGATGGACTGCTGCTCTAAAAAGCTGATTCTCAAAAAGCTGAAACACAAGGAGAAATACTGCCTCCAAGCCCAGACCATGATCCCCCTCCAGGCCAAGAGCAGCGCTCGAAGCCCCGAGAAATGTGTCACTACGCTTTGATCACACAGGTATGAACACACACACACATACTCACAGTAGTAGAAAGCTATTTGATCCGTGAGAATGTGGCGCAAGTGTGTGCGTCGTGTGACTGTGTCCGAGCCGGACAGTATTGTGTGAGTGTGAAAGGTAACCTCTCCGCTGTAACAAAAGATTACCAAATGAGAAGTCAAGGATCAGTTGTCGCACGACATTGGCCTGAGGCAGCGGGACAGAAAGAGGGAGGGAAGATGAAACTCCTGGAGGAGAAATCTTAGCAGGAGAGTTTCTCCACAATGACTTTAATTACCTCTGCTCACTGCACCCGTTGCACTATTTGTAGATCTGCAACAGATTTGTGGAGCGCTGATAATGTAATTCTGGAAAGTCATTCCTTTTGATTATTATTCCTTTGTGCCATTAATTAATCTCTTCTCTTCCTCGTTGTCTTTTTTCCACTTCTCTTCGCTGTAGACAAACTGGACAAGCTGGACTTTTCATCCATCAGTTCAGCTTTAATTATCCTTCGCTACCTCTGTGTCAATAAAAGTGCTGCACTTTATTCTCAAAAGCATTCAGGATCTGACATGTTGAATTGTGTAGGTACACTTTCACTTTTGATGTCAGCCTCCAGGACACTGCATTGTTTCTGTTAACTCAAGGTCCACTGTCCAGCGTTTCCCCCCCTCAGTGGATCAGAGTTAACTCCATCCGCTGGTGGTGCTGTGAAATGTGGTTCAAAGCTCTGAAAAAAGCTTTCGAGTAGAACTTGAGTTAAGATTATTTTGTTAATATCTTTTTACTTTTGTTTTGTTGTTTTCGTGAAGCGCAGCTTATCTTTCAGACACACTACAAGCACAATGAAGAAGAGCAGTTTACGTTAACTTATTCTTCCAGCTGACTACAGTAACCAGAAATCATTTCACATGACATCAGGGAATCACACATTTAGCAATTTTATGTATTTTTTTTGGTTTTCGTCTTAACATTTGACTTTGTTTCCTTTGAATGGAGGAAACAAATCATTTGTTCAGAGATGGGAAGGATGCAGTTTATACTGTCTCAATACTGTGAATTTGTACTCGTTTTCCCTTCCGCACAGCAACTCTCAATGAATGTCATCTAAGCTTTAACATAAACCTGTGCCAAAATATCACGGGAGCTTTACTGTGTAGCAATGACTTTACGCTTCAACTGTATTCAGATGCAAAACTTGTAATGTATTGTGTATTTGTTGTATGCATCATGTTACAAATAAAGGCACAATAATTAACTACACTGGTATATTCTGCCTTATTCGTCTATCTTATACTATACTGGGACTTTTTTAAATTTTATTTTTTTATACATACTATGAAGTTTTTATACTATTACTTTTTTCAACATACTTTACAAGATGTTTGGACATACTATATACTATACTTTGACTTTTTTGCTTTATTTTCGACATAATATATGACTTAAAAAAAAATTTGACATACTATACTATGACGTTTTCATGACTTTTTTAATCATACTATACTATGACTTTTGTAACCAGATTATACTTTGACTTTTTTGATATACTATGACTGACTTTTTTTCGACATAATATATTATGGAATTTTAATGACTTTTTTTGACATACTCTACTATGAAGTTTTTTTTTGACTTTTTTCATCATACTATACTATGACTTTTGTGAACATACTATACTTTTGACTTTTTTCAACGTGTTTTACTATGATTCTTTTCATGACATTTTGGTTTTTGGACATACTCTGCTATGATGTTACGACTTTTTTCGACATACAATTAAGTTTTCATGAGTTTATCAACATACAAAATTCCTTTTTTTCAATATGCTATACTATGACTTTTTTCGACATAATATAATACGATTGGTTCTTAATGAAGACTTAAAACAGTCAGGAATATAACGCTTCATTTTCAAAAAAGGATCAATATTTTAATAATAATAATAATAAATAAATTTTCTATAGCGCTTTTCTAGATACTCAAAGACACTTTACAAGGCAGAGACAAACAGAACAAACAAACAAACAAAAAAAAAAAGAAAAAAAAAAAAGAATAACTGGAGAAGCTGTGCTGAATGGATCATGTAATGGAGGGTAGGGTGCCGGGGTTAGCAAGTGAAGGCGAGTTTGAAGAGGTGGGTTTTGAGGGCTTGTTTGAATGATGATAGGGAGGAAGCCTCACGGATGTGGATGGGGAGGGAGTTCCAGAGGGGAGGTGCAGCAGCTGAGAAGGCCCTGTCACCCCAGGTCCGGTGCTTGGTCCTGATGGTCTTCAGAGTGTTTGCACCGGCGGACCTGAGGCAACGGGTTGGGGCGTGGAGGAGGAGGTCTGAAAGGTAGGGAGGGGCCAGGTTGTTTAGAGCTTTGTAGGTGGTGAGTAGTATTTTGAAGTCTATTCTGAATTTGACCGGGAGCCAGTGGAGGTTGCGAAGGACCGGTGTGATGTGACCATAGCGGCGGGTGGAAGTGAGCAGTCGAGCGGCAGAGTTCTGAACATATTGGAGTTTGTTGATGATTTTGTTGGGAGAACCGTAGAGGATGCTGTTGCAGTAGTTGAGTCTGGAGGTTATTAGGGCATGGATGAGAATTTCGGTGGTGGCAGAGGACAGGGAAGGTCGGAGGCGTTCAATGTTCCTGAGGTGAAAGAAGGCAGTTTTGGTGATGTGGTTGGCGTGGGGTAGAAAAAAGAGGGTGGGGTCGAGGATGATACCGAGGTTGCGGACCTGGGTGGAGGGGGTGACGATGGAGCCATCAATGTTGAGGGAGAAGGGCTGGGCTGAACAGGTGAGGGAGTTAGGGCCGATGATGAGTATTTCAGATTTGTTGCAGTTGAGTTTGAGAAAGTTCTGTTGCATCCATGATTTTATATCAGTGAGACAGGTGGTGAGAGCGGAGTGGGTGACGGAGGTGATGGTCTTGGTGGAGAAGTAGAATTGGGTATCGTCAGCATAGCAGTGGAAGTTGAGACCATGACGATGGATGATTTGTCCAAGGGGAAGGATGTAAATGATGAAGAGGAGGGGACCAAGCACAGAACCTTGGGGGACACCGTGGGTGACTGGGGAGGTGGAGGATTTACAGTTGTTTATTGCAATGAATTGATATCGGTCTGAGAGGTATGAGGTGAACCAGGAGAGGGCAGTGCCAGTTATGCCAAGGGAGTACTGGAGATGTGAGAGGAGGATGGAGTGGTTGATAGTGTTGAAGGCGGCGCTGAGGTCAAGGAGGATGAGGATGGTGAGGAATCCAGAGTCAGCAGAGAGAAGTATGTCATTTGTGATTTTCAGTAGAGCGGTTTCTGTGCTGTGTTTTAAACGGAAGCCGGATTGGAAGGGTTTGTAGAGATTATGGAGATTGAGGTGGGACTTGAGTTGTGATGCAACAGCTCTCTCGAGGACTTTGGACAGGTAGGGGAGGTTGGAGATGGGCCGGTAGTTGTTGGGGATGTCGGGGTCAAGACCAGGTTTTTTCAGCACGGGGGTGACAGCAGCAATCTTGAGTGTGGGGGGTATGAGACCTGAAGACAGTGAGGAGTTGATGATGTTGGTGATGAGAGAGGAGAGTGTGGGGAGGCAGGCCTTGGGGTCAAGGGCACAGGTGGAGGTCTTCATGCTGGAGAGTATAGAGGAGAGATTTTCCTAAGACAGCTGGGCATGTTAGTTTTTAACAAACATTACTCAATCAGGCAGTGCATTCTGGGTAGACTCTTTAGCGGTGGATTAATACACATTTGGTGTGACAGCTGGAAATGTAAGAAAACAGCATCAAATAACTGTCGACGGTTGATCTACAGAAGATCAGAATCTATCCAAAGAAAAACAAAAAGTCAACATAAGTCTTGATTTAGACTTTATTCAAAATGTTGATAAACTTGATACTCTTGATCAATTAGGCGTGAAATAACCAATACTGTAATGATAACAAAAACGTTCACTGAAACAGAAGTACTCAAATCTAAATGTGACACATTCAGCGTGACGGAGACATCCAGTGATTTAAAGGAAGGGTTGCATTTAACAAAAGGTGATGGATCTTTCAGCACCAGCGCCGCGCGGATTGTACGGAATAGCTTTCTTTGTAAGAGCTCCTCACTAGCAGCTAGTTCATTTAGTGGTTTTGGTCCTGAGGACACTGAGGCCTTAGTGATGGGATAGAGTTGAATTTGGTCCGAAGCCTGAATGCACCTTATTGATAACCGGTATCACCAATATTCCTGCTGCAGTTTGTCTAACGTGGTGGAATGTTTTTGAGTATGTCGAGACATCGTTAACCCTCGTAGACAAAACCCTTTCGTTAGCTGCTAGCCAACAAAGCTTTGTTACTGTGGACGACAAACTGCAGACTTCAGCCTCAAACAGAAACACAATATTTTAAGGGGGAATGTACAGCACCAGTGCATTATGGTATTTACAGTTAACCTTAATTCATAGAAAATGAGTAAATCCAGTGATATCTTGGCTTGCAAACTGCCCCTTTAACAGCTTGATTATTAGTAAGGCTTTTACAGTGTTGTTTGACAGTCAGTGGTCATAAAATACAGAACATGGGACACTTCCCATCCTAAGTCATCACAAGATGCCACAGTGATACACACGTCAGGAAATATATTTACACCGTTTGAGAATTCATATCTCACTGTAAATGAGCTTTGTTTTGTTCTTATGAACTTCTCAAAAACAGACTGAATTGAGACAGCGATAAAAAGTTGTGTGGGGGGTGTATGATCATCAGTCAAAAGTAACAAAATTAAGTCAATTTGTTCATCTTTTAGAGCGGGCCCGGGAGTGACCAGTGTGTATCCTGCAGAGTCAGACCGCCACACTCACGAGTTCACAGAGTTGAAACTGTGTCTTCACTCTATTTCACTAAATGTTGTCCTCTAATGTCTAGAAACTAGTATTGAAAGCACACGGTCCGTCTGTAGTATTGCTCTTTGTACACTCAATGTTCTAAACAAGATCCTCCCATGTTGCCACTCCCGGCTGAGCATTAATCTTTTTAACAATTTACATCTGAGATTGTGCTGTGTCACTGCAGTTGCAGCCAATCAGCTGTCATCGGGGGAGGATTAGATTATAAATTCATTCATTTGGGGCAGGTTTTCCCGACATAAACATTGGTGGCTGAAGTGTTCCCCCACTCGGCTGCAGTACAGGAAATATTAACCCCCAAAATACCCCTATAAATACTTTCAAACACGAGTACAATAGTCATTTCAACAGTTAAGTGAAACGAATGTTTGCTCTGCAGGTACTTTTCTACCTGCTTCTCTAAAATCTTTAGGACATTCTGGGAGAAGACATACTTGCATCCCTGCTACGATCCAGTATGTAACCGGTCCCTGGAACACAAACGGTACTGCAGCATCGCTCACTTTTACAAACAGTCACAAAACAGCATATATGCAATACAAAACCGCTGTCAGCATTAGGCTGATGATGGGATAAAAAGAAATATTTACAAACAAGACATTGTTTTCTTTCGTTCAACATTTTAAGGGTACATGCATGCATGATTCTCAAGTCCAAAAAAATCTAAAAGCGTGATCGCACAACTTTGAAACTGACATGGAATGTACGTCCTTCTGGTTTCTAAAGGTAAGGTCAAGTCTCTTCATATTAAATTACCTATAAAAATATATATATAAATAAAAAGGTGAGGGTATTGTGTTGCGAAAGCTGCAGCAGCGGTCAACGTTTAGCTGCACCGACAGAACGAAAAAAGGAAGAAGGTAAGAAAAGGGAGGAAGAGCTGAGCGAACAAAGATGGCCGGTCGAGCATCCGAGTGACCAGAAGAAGAGCTGCTGAGTCAGCGTGCTCTGCTCAGGTTTCAGAACTATGTTTGTAAATGTGGGTTCTAGTACGAGTCAAGGCAGCGTGGAAGTCACAGTCGAGACCAAAGATTTGCGACGAGACAAAACTGTTGCAGCGGCGAGGAGTGTCCGTCTCAGCTCGATTCAAGCCGGCTGACAGTGTCGCATACGACTCGGCCTGTCAAGTCAGCCGGTCGACTCGGTTACAAACAGTTGGTCGGAGGAAAGAGGGGATGACCTCATCAAGCTGTTTGAGGAACAGCCGTGTCGGTTCCATCGTATCCTTTCTCTCTGCCAACTCTCTCACATTTACCAGGAAAACTAGTTTATAGCTAGTAACTAATCAAGGCTGTCGGATCTGTAAATGCACGCGACAGCTTACGTGCATGCGCGTATTAATGTTAACAATTAACCGCTGACAAATCTGAAACTTAATTGGAATTATTATGACAGCAGGATAAACAATATGACCCATATGACCGACGTTATTTAAACCTGTAACACTGTAAAACAAACAAATGCTGATGCATCATGTTTCAGATGTTCATCCTTTCTGAATCAGCAGCTGGTAGTTTATTTGTATCTCTTTACCTCCACAAGTCGATGGTTAGTTTCTGCTCTGTGTGCACAAAAGGACATCGCGGGCTCATGAACGCTGCAGCGCGACTAGATTGCAGTCAAGTGCGCCCGCGGCCTCCCGCTCTCTGTTGCACTTGGGCACGAGGTGCCCGCTGTTTTAGTCGCATCGGTGTAAACTCACAGATTTCAGAATATTGCAGACTGGCGCATTGCAAGTATTTGCGAATTTCACATTAACCCGTCGCGAGTCTTTGGTCTGAACTGAATTGAGATGAAGGCGCACATTCTACGACTCCTTTGACACAGGTGTGTCTGCTTGAAGTCTCAGACTGTTCTAGAACTAAGGCAAAGCTGGGTTCTATATTATAGAACATTTTTTTAAAAACGGGGGGAAAAAAGGCAGCCTGGTTCTAAACCCTCCAGGAGTTTTAGGCCAAATATTCTGTCTGAATGTTCAGAAACACTCTTGGTTGTATGGGATGAACTATGACCACAGCAGGTCATTTTTTTTTGAAGGCTCCTAAGAGAGAAACTCTTTCTCCAGCTCAAAAACGGAGGTCCGTCCCGGGGAGCTCTGAATGCGGCAGAGCGGCACAGTGCAGTCCCGTTTCTGGCCCTCTGTGTCCATGTCCAGTAGGGAGCAGCCCGTCCCCACGTCCGAGGACAGCACCACGCTTAGGTTTTGGGCCGTCTTCTCTCCGGAGTAGTGGCCCAGCGAGTAGCTCTTGTTGCGCCCTCGCAGCAGGGCCCAGGTATGTGGCTTGGCCCGGAACGACACTGGCCGTGGTCTGGAGAAGGCCTCCCCACCAGAAGGCTTCTCCGACAGTCCATCCTGCTCTTTTTCATGCTTCTTCTGTGAGGCTGGAGGAGGCAGAGTGGGTGGGCCATTGACTGGAAACAGATGGGGGGGGGGGGATAGATTTTTGGAGCATAAGTATTTTTTTTTTAAAACGGTACACAAGCTTACTTCCCGTACCCCTTTTTTTTGGTGTTACTCACTAATGTGGTTGGTGGTGTATTTCTTTCTGCGTAGACGTGTTCCTGTGTTGTGGTTGCTCTGCTCAGCTGGCTGGCTTTGGGTTTGCGGTGGTGTCTGTGTGTTATTCTGGCCTTCTGTAGCAGCTGCTTCGCCGGGTCTGGACGACTCCGTGAGATGATTGGCGGCCGCGAGCTCAACCTTCCCAGGCCTAGACTGTGACGCGTCCGCCTCAGACTGCGAGAGACACTTGGTGGAGTTGCACTCCATAATGGCCGACATGGAGATGAGATTGACAGGTTGGGTGGCGGTGTGGTTTGATGAGGCCTCGTCTTTGCGGGAGCGACCACCCGGTGGCGAGGTGCTGCGGCGGAAGCGTGTCGCTCGCTGAAACAGGCCCTCCTTCTTCTTCTTTTCCTTCTCCTCGCGCTGGGGCTCGCAATCCTCCCCAGGAGCCGAGTTTTTGAGAGCCTCCCTAATGTCATAACCGAGCACAACGGAAGCCAGCAACGAGCCGCAGCCGTACAGCACGGAGTCGGTCTTGCGGCGAGCCGACGTCCGCTTCAGGCTGTTGGTGGGGGTGCCCTGTGGGGTGGTGGAGGTGGACGAGGTGGATGTGGTGGTGTCTTCTGGGGTCTCTGCTGGGCCACCCTGACCTGCTGCCCCAACCCCAGAATCTCCCGACCCACAATGCCCAGCGGGGCTCTGAGGCTGCTGCTCGTCCCTCCACAGAGGTAGATCGATGTACACCTGGTTGGGGAACTTGAGCTGCTTTGGCTTGGAGCTGCTGTCGGGACATTCCTGGGAGAACGCCTCGTCTTTACCGGCCCCCGCTGAAAACACAGAAGTGGGAATCAGACATTATCAATAAATGGACCAAACCAGCTTTCCCCTTGCTCGTACAAGCATCACCAGATTATTAAGAGTACCTGCCACTTGACAAAAACATACTTAATTGTGTTTGTCTGATAGACGTAAAAGGAAAATAAGGGATATTAAACCTAATTTCAAATCTGACAAGTAAACAAGCACTCAAAAGACTTTAAAACAACATTTATTCGTCACTTCAGAAAACAATTCGGCTCACTTTGTTCAGCAAACAGGGCAGAGAGGGGGACAGACTTTTGGGATTTGACCAGGCTGGTGGACCAGGGGTTACTGCCGTCTGACAGAGGACGCACTCTGAAAACATGAAGTACAAGTTATCGCCATTTGTAGTAGAAAGTGTGTGATACCTTATGTTGTATATTACTGTATAAAACATAGAGAGGAGACGAGGATAACATTAAGATATAAGGATGTGGTTAAGTTGTTTAGGAACAGGAACCAAATGGTCTCCACCCTGAGATCATGATTGAACAAAATACTAGCTTGTTGTGTGTGTGTGTGTGTGTGTGTGTGTGTGTGTACAATCTACCTCTCAGCAGCAGCAGGTCTTTCTTTGCTCTGTACTGAACTGGGACCCCAGGTTCTTCCTTTCTTCTTGATTCCCTTTTTCACGTCTTCAAACTCTTCTGGCCTGAAGAGGGTGCTACGGCCCCATGTGCGGTTGCTCTCATCTTGGGTAACTGTTAACACAGCGACCAACAAGTGTTACCAAAGACCCAAAACAACTGCAAGAGGGTGTTTGTAAGCAAAACCACAACCCTGACAGAGAATCTGGTGTAGACATGTTAGTAAGACTATTAAAACAGATATTATGCCATCTGTAGAACCCCGGTAATTATCTTTGTCTAAAAATGTTCTTTGTCGTCTCCGTCTCCAAATAGTAGACTACTTAAAAAGTTTAAACATCAAAGAATAACTCATGGGTGTTCTCTCTTAAAAGTTTATTTCAAGGCCATTATACACTGGATTGATATAAACCTTTAATTATTTTAATAACGGCATTTGATTCAGGAACATTCAAAGTAACAAACTTTTTCGTACTAGAAAATATCACCAATGTAAATTCATTTCTGAAAGTGAAATCAAAAGACCAAAAGTTGTTATAAAAAGCTTCTTATAGCTGTAGGTTAGTCGCTGTGAAGTTGTGAGGGCAACAGTAAAAAGTGCAAATTAACAGCACTACCACTTTTTTGTTTACTACTTTATTACTTAATTCAAACCAGATAATATAAGATGACTATGGCATAAACCTCATAATAGTTATCAAGAGTACCTGTGAAACAACCAGCAAACCCCCAAAGCCTTGTTAAAATCAGGAAAACCTCGTCAATCAGCAGATATAATCCCCATTGATGGAAGCTGTTAAGCATCAAACCCTTTCATTAGCCAAACATCACAAGCCGATAGCTTGCCTTTCTTCGTGAGCCCACTCGAGGCTGTGAGCTCGCTGGTCAGATCAACATCCTGTTGGTAAACATACAAACTGTCCCTCTGCATGTGGGTCATCACTGAGGAGGGAAACGTACACGTTACCTCCCACCATGAGCTTTACCACACATGTTATGTTCACTTGCTCCTAGCGTACACAAAGGTCAATGTCAGCATAAAAACAATACAATAAATACAATACGAGGACAACAACACAACTATATCGTGACTTTTGTTTTTATGACTTTTTGGCATGCTGTAATATGAAGTTTTTAATGACATACATGATAACATTTTTGTTTTAATAAATTGCAATCCAGAGATTCTGAGCAACAATCTGCGCTCTATGTCTGAATATCAGTGTCTACTGTAAATGCTTGAGAGGAATTTGTTCCCGTTATTGCGAGGGCGTCAGTGCGTGAATAACGACATCATCAAACTGTTCAAACAACTGGCTGACTGCTTGTGGCTCTGGAGCTTTCGTTCACACGGCTCTGGTCATTGTGACACTGTTCCCATGTTCCCGTTCCCATGAAACTCTCAGAGAGTTGATGGGATTTCTTCAGAATAGTTAAGATTTGACTTAATGCGGGCCAAGAAATACTGAACCACAACTACAAGAAACACTGACACAGAGGTGGAGGAGACACACGAAGGAAAACCTGAATAAACCAACAGACAGAACTTACGCTGGATGGCTCGTAGCCGGGGGATGAGTGTGGGGCTGCTGGGAGGAGAGGAGCTGGTGCTGTGAAGGCTTCGCCTCTTGTCCATGGAAGGCGACGCCTGCACGGTGATCTTATGCTGGAAGTCTGCAAAATGCAACACGCAGATACGGTCATTACAATCTCAGAATAGCAGGCGGGGTCACGATATTGATTCTAAATCAAAAACGGTCAAAATGAGCTTTCAATTGCGTTCGTAAAAGTCAAAAGCAGGATTCTGTGACTCTCCCAGTATTATCTTCTCTTCCTCCCCGCCCTCTTGCGTGCAAGAGAAAAGAAAAGCACTTCAAAGACAACACAACGCAGCCTACAGGTAAAAAAGCGGCACTTTTTGAGACACCATGGCCGGAGCCGGAGATGACAGAGGAAGTCACTACAGTTTGAAGGCTGCAGAAGATTTCGAGACTGGAGCAACCAGTGGAGCCCTATCCTCAAAGTAAAATGTGAAATGTGGATTCGGAGAATTGTGACACCCCTACTCACTAGACATGTTTTGTCAGTGAACATTTCATTAACCCAAAGTTAGGTCTCAGTAACAATTCAGCTCTTTTCACCGCTCACACTAGAAGACCACCAGTTTAAACATGAAACCAAGACAGCTGTTCAGTGTGTTCGCTCACCTGAGGGCAGGCTGATGCGGTTTCCATCCTTCAGTTTGAGGCGGGAACGCTTGAATTTGCCTTTCCTCTTCTTCACGTTGGGCTTGTCTTTGTTGAGCTGGAAGATGAGGATGTTGAGCTCTCTCTCCAGCACGTTGATCTCCCGCTCTGCCAGCTGCTGCTCCCGACGCTTCAGAAGCTCCTCCTGAGACTTCTGCTGGACGGTGGCCCGAGTCAGCTCCTCCTCTCTGGAACGTAGCTCCTGGAGGAACCAGGTGTCAAGATACATATATACTTAAACTGGCAGACAGACTTTAGTTGTTGCCACAAGGTCCTGGGAACACTGACACACCGTCAAGGCTAGAGTGAAGACTGTTTGTTTGTTTTTTTAGACACAATTCTCTCGTAAGACAGAAGAGAATGCATTGCAAGACAAACAGGAATACATCTCATAGTTCCCATAAAACAAGGGAAAAGCTCTTGCAGATAGACAACAATAAGGAGGCAGGAGTGTTAAATAACTCCTTCTATAACAAGTTGGTATCAGGAGATTACTGCCTGCTGTTTCAGGCTGCATTACAAAGCTAACCGGTCCCCGTTTTCTCTTTAATTGCTCTCAGCTGAGTAATAATAATCCTTACTGGATGACTTACATAAAGCAGCTTTACAGTCAAGCCACTTCAGCCACCCACCTAGACACAGATTACTGCGGGAGGTTTACAGGAAATCTTGTGAAATTTGCGATGGGAAAATGTGAGACGATGCTCAAAGATTTGTATTTCTTTCTTCTCGTGATTTATGAAAGCTTTACACACCAAACAAACTTTATAGAGCTTTTATGTGATGATGAGTTGGTGCAGGTTCATTTGAGTGTTTAAGTGATTAATTGGGTACGTGTTAAAATGGGGTTTAACACAACAGTTATAATACATTAATATAAAATACAATAAAAGATATAATTATCAAATAAAAGGCACAGATTAAGTCTCTTAAAACTTTCTAGTATCCGTGTCATTCAGTTCACCAGTCGTTGATTCGGCTCTTTGTGCTGATCCGGCTGTTTCTACAAACACTAATTAACTCCCCTCTTTAAGCCAGCAATGGGAGACTTAAACAGGAAGCAGATTAAGGTTTTAACAAGGGGAAGTACGCTAAAGCACCTCGGCATTAATGACACTTTTTGTCTAACGCTTTAGCTTTTCCACTGAAAGTAACCAATTAAGTCCATAAAAAGCTTCCCCAAGCGATTCTGCATGGTTCGATTAATCTCAATAGTAGATTAGTCAACATGTATCATCGCTGGAAAATAACAAACGTAGAGAACAGTACAAGAAGGACAGAAGGTCGGCTACATAAACTGTTATGTCAGGTTTCTAAGTTCCCACTCTGACCTCGTGTTGAGAGTACGGTGTAATGTCAGTGGCTCCACATATTGATGTTCGTGTTTCATCGCTCTGCTCTACCTTCTCTTTGGTCCTGAGCTCATCAAACATCTCCTGGATCTCCACGCGCCAGTCGTCCTGCATGCTGTGGAAAGAGTCCTGGGGCATGGTGGCCATCACCGCCTCCTCGATGGCCGACAGCTGCTCCAGGATGCAGGAGAAGGAGGGACGCACGTGGGGGTCCTGGTCCCAGCACTCTGGACACACACGTTGAGATTTAAAGATTAGAGATACGTCCACTACCACACATAGTGTAACTAAAACACAAAAGGTACATAACCACTAGCTATAGAACAGGTAGGTTTAACGGTCGTCTCATTTTATTCAGCTGAGACTGAAGACGAAGTTCATTGTTTTAACTGTTTTGTCTATAGAACTCTATTAACATTTCATTGTGGAACTTTAAGTCTTATATTATTATTCTTTTGCAATAATCTAATTCATTTAAAAAAGAAATGACTTGCTATTCTTGAAATGCTTTCCTACATCCTGCAGCATCATTATTATGTTGCACACTCACCTTCCATGAGCTTGGCGAAGGGTTCGGGGCACGTCGAGGGGATCGGTAGAGTTAACTTGTTGACTGCCACGCCGTAAGCAACAGCCAGGCCGTCTATCCCACGATACGGCACCTCCCCTGTTAACAGCTCCCACAGCAAGACTCCATAGCTGGTGTTTGACGCACATACGAAGAGTGTTTAAAGAGAGTAAAAGGAAAGTACAGGAGAGAGTAATAATGTTAGACGAACGCGTGAGTAGGAGATCATATTTTCGTCATTGGGTCGGGGTCTGGTGTGTGATTTGTCATACCTCCAGACGTCGCTGCCTTTGGAGAAGAGAGACGACTTGATCACCTCGGGGGCCATCCAGGAATAGGTGCCTGCAGCTGACATTTTTGTGGTGTTGTGCCACTCCCTGGCCAGGCCGAAATCTGTGATCTTCAAGGTCTTCTTCCCGATGTCGTCATTCTCAATCGTTTCAAGTAATAAAACTGAGAAGAGAGAGAGAGAGAAAGAGATACATTAGAGAGCGGCCATAGAAGAGACTGGGAGCGGGAGAGGGCATAACAAGCGCTGAGTGATTGAGGGGAAAGGTGAAAGACAGGGTTGGGATAAAAGTGACATATGTGAAGGGGGGGGGGAGAAAGACAACGAGTGAAAGAGAAAGGGAGATACAAAGAGCGGGGGGGGGGGGGGACAGAGAGAGAGAAATACGGCCGTGCAGGTGAGGAGATGATAGTCGATATTCAACCGGGCCAACAGAGGTATGCAGGTCGTTTATTACTGGAGGAACAGAAGGCTGACAGCGCCACAAAGCACCTGTCCTCAGGTCCTAAAACTGTTTAACACATTAAAGACAGACAGAACCCTCCAAACCTGCCTGTAACACGACACCCGGCCCGAGAGCCACAGCGAAGCCAAGTTTATTCACCCATTTGTGTTATTTACCCCCAAATGTTCTGATACACACAGATGCTTTTAACTTTGAACCAGTTTCAACTCAGTGAGATGCACGTTACTCCAATTCCATTTAGTCATCATACAACTAAAGTTAAGTTTGTTACTCAATTCAATGCAAGAAAATAAAGAATTTTCTGTATTTTCTTTGAACAAAAAGAAAATAAATCAGAGTATAATGCCTATAACTTAGTATAACTTAGAAATATACTAAAACGTGTAAGAGACATATTGGTGTAAAACATAGGGATGCAATTAACAATCATTTTTATCATTGATTATCGGAGTTTCTGCTGATAATTGTTATTCTGATTAATCGATTAATTGTAAAAATAATTCAAAAAAATAGTGAAAAATGTCCCAAGGTGACGTCTTCGAATGTCTTGTTTTATACGACCAACAGTCCAAAACCTAAAATACTTAAAATGAATTATAACAATAAACAGAACATTCTCCAAATAGTGAAGATAAAACTAAGGAATGTCTCTCTCCTTAAAAAAAAGAAAGAAATGACAAACAATCGATTATTAAATTAGTTCCAGATTAATTTTCTGTTCATCGACTGATCGATTGTTTCAGCTGAAGCTAAACGGACACATCCGAGTGAAAACTATAGAAATGTAACCGAGAGAATTAGAGTGAAACGCACAAAAATAGCATTAAACACACGTAAGCAAGTCATTTACAGTTCAGCAGAGCAAACAGGAGTTAACACGAATACACGCAGGAGTCAACAAGACGTTTAAGCTTTTACCTACTCGCTATGTGCCGACTAATATTCCTGTTATCTCCCTGACAAGAACAAGCAGCCAAAGCCAACACTCTTTGATCCTCTTGGTATTATTTTCAAAATGTGTTTGTTTTGCCTCTGCCAAGATCTCCTCACATTACAAACTGTCCCATTTCATTATTTACATGCAGTCCGATCACTGCAGGTCAGAGTTAACTTGTCCCATCAGCTGCTTCTACAGAAACTTAAACTTGAGTCTAAATGTCCCTTAAAGTGGTTCGACAGAGGCACTTAGGTGTTAGGATAAATAAAACACCGGAGTGAACTGCTGACACATAAACTCTCTGCTAATATTCCCATGGGAAGCTAACACCTACTGTATCAAAAAGACTGCTCAGGTTGAAGGCTACTTGTTCACAGCTTCCTCTGTGATCTGTGGATGCAAGTATCACTTGAACGGAGTAGCAGCACAGCGTTGGCTGTTTATCTCACTGACCTTGGACTTCCTCAATCCAACAGTGCCAAACTACAATCTGCCAAAACGTACGCACACACGCACACACACACACACACACACACACACACACACACACACACACACACACACACACACACACAAAGCTATATTACATTTACGTGCTTTTAACCATCTGAGATGGTACGGTTTACCTACAATACGCACAGTGATCTACTGACTTTAAGAACAGATCTTCATAAAACTCAGACTCTACTGAAAATCTGTGTGTGAGGAAAAACTAAAACAAACATGCAGAATTACTTTCTTATGTAGCGCTATGCCCACTCCCATAACTGGCCATAAATTCTGCACTTTTCAGTGTTATACTGATATCAAAAACTTATATACTTACTGTGTAGAAGTGATTCATAAATAAGACTTTAACTACACAACCCAACTTTCAAGTGAAGATGTTCATACACGCATTCTAATCGAGACTAAAGTTAATTTAATCATAATTGTTTGCACAATAAGGTTTATGAAATGTGTTTAAGAAGCAACCAGAGCTGAAAAGATTTGTTGGTTTATTGACAGAAAACTAACGTTATCAAAAGAATGTAACGGTTTTGACGTTATGCCAAGTAGGTCAATGTTTTGTGCTACAGAGACGTGTACCGCCGACCAGCAGGATCCGGCCCGTACTCTCTAATCATACTAGTTCTTCGAGAGGCGAAAGTGAGTAACGGCAGCGCTGCTCTGCCCTCAGTCCAGAGAATAATACATCCATGGTGTATGTTTTGATTGCTTATTGGATTAAATCCAAAAGTAGGACAAACGAGAACACAACTTGCACTCTTGCCTCATACTTGCTGCTTCGCCTGCAGTAGAGCGTGCGGCGAGTTAACTTCAGCCAACGCAAACCCCAGCACAGAGGGTCTGACCCCGGCAGACGGCCCCCGAAAGCAAACTTTCTGTTTCTGCCGTTACACGTGTTGGACTGAGCTCAACTATCAAAACTGTCAAAGCGTACAAGGGCCATACAAAAAGATGGCTAACGTAACGCAACCAGTTTGGTCCAATTTTGCTCATTTTCTTTTAATGAGCCCAGTAGTAGAGGTGAACGCACCCTACTTCTCTGGAGCAGGTGGCATTACACGTTGTTTTTCCAGCTTCTAAACGATGAGGATTTGTCGTTTGTCTTTGTTTTATGTGATGCAAAACTAAACATACTTCGGTGTCTTATGATTGTCAGACAAAACAAGCAATTTGACGATGTTAACTTAGATTTAGGAAGCTTTCATTGTCTGGTCTATAAACTGCCATAGGATAATCGATTGCCAATTAACAAATATGAATGATTTACTTGCAGCCCCGGATGCAACACAACACAAGTCTACTATTTCACACAGCTAATACATTGTGCTGCCTCACTATACTGTATATTGTCTCAACTGCATTCCACTACAACAGAAAAGCAACTATTTCACGTGACCCATCATCTCAATGAACACAGACTGCAGTGTGACTCCTGTGGGTCTCCACTGATAACAGGGGTATTGGTGCCATTACTGGCCGTAGGCACGGAGGGGATCCTCTACCCGGGCTGCAACAATAAGAATTCCATTACAAACAGGTTTCACGAGACCAATGATATACTCCTACTTCCTGTTGTCACGCTCCCTCTCTCAGTGATTCCATAGATCCCTCCCAGCAGGCTCTGTAGGTTTATAATGACTTACGATGGGTTAGTTACACAACCCAGAAGAACAGTGGTTTTGGGATAGCCCCTTCTGCATCGATTGGCTGATAGAATATCATGCCAAATACTTTCTTTGTAGCGCCGTGATACTTCAGTGTCAGCCCTCTAGAAATGTCTGCTAAAAGACCCAACTCCCGTCTACATGACTCCATGCTGCTACAAAAACACCTTTAAACCTCAGTCGGCAGACAAAATAGGCAACTGAAGCTGCAACTAAGAATTACTTACAATATTGGTTAACCTGCCATTTATTTTCTCAATAATTATTGATTATAAAAAGCCCAAGGTCTGAGACTAAAGCCTTCGTTCGAGCTACTTAGTGTTTCATTGTAGAAACATCCCGAGACAACACTGACATCCGTTCATAACTTTCGCTGTTTAAGCTAGAATATTAGTAGCAGGTTATCCTTTAAACGTGTCACTGGTTTCAGATGATTTCTACATTTTACTTCTGTATCAAAACAATTCAACTATGTCTACCTGTGATTTGAATACTCAAACGGTCTCAAATAGACCAACTAGCCTTGTAACAAATACATGGATTTGCATTCAAAAAGCAGAACAAGATGTTCTAGTTGACTTCTATTTCGGGTAATCCTAAAAGTCAAGCCCGAGGCCGAACCCCACCCTAAAGTTAGCACATTTTAAAGCCTTCACCGTTGTGCTGTTGCACAAAATCAGGCTGTGGCTAGTCCGTCTTGGGTATTGTTTGGAGGACATGTTGAACAATTGGAGGGGTATTGATAAGCTAATTATTGCTTGTGCATCTCATGATTTGAATTACGTCATATATATACATATATATATATATATATATATATATATATAGGCCATGTCCCTAAACAAGGTTACATGTGGGTAAAAATAGCCAGAGGTTATGGCAAATGCATTGATGCACTGACATCCTTTAAATGTGCTGGTATGCTAGAGACATGTGGGCAAAGTAATCTAACCACTAAATTCAGAAGAAATGGAATAAAAGGATTCCACTACTTAGGGCCAATGCTTATGTTAGGTATAAAGACGCTGCTTACAGTAAACTATTGTTCATATTAATACATGTTGCTGTGTAGTCTATTATGTCATCATCACTGTTAGATTATTGTCATTAGATTTGCGAGTTGCATAAACTACAGGTGATGTGTGAAACCGGTTTGGTGTGAAGGAATTAGAGGTTCTAATTCCGTTTACTTTCAGTCTGATTTAAAATCTATTTTTCATTGTGAATTGCAAAAATGTCTTGAGATACTTTGCAATCACCGTCCTATTAACCCGTCACGTCGGAGAGATGTTCTATCTCAGTGTGTTCTTTTCCCTCATTCTATATTGTCTTACTCTTTTGACAGGAAAGTGTTTTGAAGTGTAACGCAATCGGAGATGTATATGCCCCGAAGGCAGACCCCACCCTCAGTCCAACCCCCCCATTTGGTTCCCTTTTCCAACAGGAGATCTGGAGGCAGACCCATCCTTCAGGGTGGAGCAGTGGGCAGATCAGAAGCAGAGCTGCTGCCTTCAAAGCAGCTCCCACGCGTCTTCCCATTGCCTTTTACCCCTCAAGGTACAAAACAAAAGAAAGACACTTTTTTGG